AATTTAGAGCGTGGGAATGTTGCTGACATCCTGGGATTATAATTTAGAACGTGGGAATGTTGCTGACATCGAGGGAATTATAATTTAAAGCGTGGGAATGTAGCTGACATCGAGGGAATTATAATGTAGAGCGTGGGAATGTTGCTGACATCGAGGGAATTATAATTTAGAGCGTGGGAATGTTGCTGACATCGAGGGAATTATAATTTAGAGCGTGGGAATGTTGCTGACATCCTGGTATTATAATTTAGAGCATGGGAATGTTGCTGAGATCCTAAGGTTATAATTAAGAGCGTGGGAATGTAGCTGACATCAAGGGAATTATAATTTAGAGCGTGGGAATGCTGCTGACATCCTGGGATTATAATTTAGAGCGTGGGAATGTAACTGACATCTTGGGATTATAATTTAGAGCGTGGGAATGTTGCTGACATCCTGGGATTATAATTTAGAGCGTGGGAATGTTGCTGACATCAAGGGAATTATAATTTAAAGCGTGGGAATGTTGCTGACATCGAGGGAATTATAATTTAGAGCGTGGGAATGTAGCTGACATCCTGGGATTATAATTTAGAGCGTGGGAATGTTGCTGACATCAAGGGAATTATAATTTAGAGCGTGGGAATGTTGCTGACATCCTGGGAATATAATTTAGAGCGTGGGAATGTAACTGACATCCTGGGATTATAATTTAGAGCGTGGGAATGTAGCTGACATCCTGGGATTATAATTTAGAGCGTGGGAATGTTGCTGACATCTCGGGATTATAATTTAGAGCGTGGGAATGTAGCTGACATCCTGGGATTATAATTTAGAGCGTGGGAATGTAGCTGATATCAAGGGAATTATAATTTATAGCGTGGGAATGTTGCTGATATCCTGAGATTATAATTTAGAGCGTGGGGATGTTGCTGACATCGAGGGAATTATAATTTAGAGCGTGGGAATGTTGCTGACATCCTGGGATTATAATTTAGAGCGTGGGAATGTTGCTGACATCAAGGGAATTATAATTTATAGCGTGGGAATGTTGCTGATATCCTGAGATTATAATTTAGAGCGTGGGGATGTTGCTGACATCTTGGGATTATAATTTAGAGCGTGGGAATGTAGCTGACATCCTGGGATTATAATTTAGAGCGTGGGAATGTTGCTGACATCCTGGGATTATAATTTAGAGCGTGGGAATGTTGCTGACATCAAGGGAATTATAATTTAGAGCGTGGGAATGTTGCTGACATCCTGGGAATATAATTTAGAGCGTGGGAATGTAACTGACATCCTGGGATTATAATTTAGAGCGTGGGAATGTTGCTGACATCCTGGGATTATAATTTAGAGCGTGGGAATGTTGCTGACATCAAGGGAATTATAATTTAGAGCGTGGAAATGTTGCTGACATCCTGGGAATATAATTTAGAGCGTGGGAATGTAACTGACATCGAGGGAATTATAATTTAGAGCGTAGGAATGTAGCTGACATCGAGGGAATTATAATGTAGAGCGTGGGAATGTAGCTGACATCGAAGGAATTATAATTCAGAGCCTGAGAATGTAACTGACATCCTGGGATTATAATTTAGAGCGTGGGAATGTTGCTGACATCCTGGGATTATAATTTAGAACGTGGGAATGTTGCTGACATCAAGGGAATTATAATTTATAGCGTGGGAATGTTGCTGATATCCTAAGATTATAATTTAGAGCGTGGGGATGTTGCTGACATCGAGGGAATTATAATTTAGAGCGTGGGAATGTTGCTGACATCCTGGGATTATAATTTAGAGCGTGGGAATGTTGCTGACATCAAGGGAATTATAATTTAGAGCGTGGGAATGTTGCTGACATCCTGGGATTATAATTTAGAGCGTGGGAATGTTGCTGACATCAAGGGAATTATAATTTAGAGCGTGGGAATGTAGCTGACATCGAGGGAATTATAATTCAGAGCGTGGGAATGTTGCTGACATCCTGGGATTATAATTTAGAGCGTGGGAATGTAGCTGACATCCTGGGATTATAATTTAGAGCGTGGGAATGTAGCTGATATCAAGGGAATTATAATTTATAGCGTGGGAATGTTGCTGATATCCTGAGATTATAATGTAGAGCGTGGGAATGTTGCTGACATCGAGGGAATTATAATTTAGAGCGTGGGAATGTAGCTGACATCGAGGGAATTATAATTTAGACGTGGGAATGTTGCTGACATCAAGGGAATTATAATTTAGAGCGTGGGAATGTTGCTGACATCTTGGGATTATAATTTAGAGCGTGGGAATGTACCTGACATCGAGGGAATTATAATTTAGAGCGTGGGAATGTTGCTGACATCCTGGGATTATAATTAAGAGCGTGGGAATGTAGCTGACATCAAGGGAATTATAATTTAGAGCGTGGGAATGCTGCTGACATCCTGGGATTATAATTTAGAGCGTGGGAATGTAACTGACATCCTGGGATTATAATTTAGAGCGTGGGAATGTTGCTGACATCCTGGGATTATAATTTAGAACGTGGGAATGTTGCTGACATCGAGGGAATTATAATTTAGAGCGTAGGAATGTAGCTGACATCGAGGGAATTATAATGTAGAGCGTGGGAATTTTGCTGACATCGAGGGAATTATAATTTAGAGCGTGGGAATGTTGCTGACATCTCGGGATTATAATTTAGAGCGTGGGAATGTAGCTGACATCCTGGGATTATAATTTAGAGCGTGGGAATGTAGCTGATATCAAGGGAATTAAAATTTATAGCGTGGGAATGTTGCTGATATCCTGAGATTATAATTTAGAGCGTGGGGATGTTGCTGACATCGAGGAAATTATAATTTAGAGCGTGGGAATGTTGCTGACATCCTGGGATTATAATTTAGAGCGTGGGAATGTTGCTGACATCAAGGGAATTATAATTTAGAGCGTGGGAATGTAGCTGACATCGTGGGAATTATAATTCAGAGCGTGGGAATGTTGCTGACATCCTGGGATTATAATTTAGAGCGTGGGAATGTAGCTGACATCCTGGGATTATAATTTAGAGCGTGGGAATGTAGCTGATATCAAGGGAATTATAATTTATAGCGTGGGAATGTTGCTGATATCCTGAGATTATAATTTAGAGCGTGGGAATGTTGCTGACATCGAGGGAATTATAATTTAGAGCGTGGGAATGTAGCTGACATCGAGGGAATTATAATTTAGACGTGGGAATGTTGCCGACATCGAGGGAATTATAATTTAGAGCGTGGGAATGTAGCTGACATCGAGGGAATTATAATTCAGAGCGTGGGAATGTTGCTGACATCCTGGGATTATAATTTAGAGCGTGGGAATGTTGCTGACATCCTGGGATTATAATTTAGAACGTGGGAATGTTGCTGACATCGAGGGAATTATAATTTAGAGCGTGGGAATGTAACTGACATCCTGGGATTATAATTTAGAGCGTGGGAATGTTGCTGACATCCTGGGATTATAAGTTAGAACGTGGGAATGTTGCTGACATCGAGGGAATTATAATTTAGAGCGTGGGAATGTAGCTGACATCGAGGGAATTATAATGTAGAGCGTGGGAATGTTGCTGACATCGAGGGAATTATAATTTAGAGCGTGGGAATGTTGCTGACATCGAGGGAATTATAATTTAGAGCGTGGGAATGTTGCTGACATCCTGGGATTATAATTTAGAGCGTGGGAATGTTGCTGACATCAAGGGAATTATAATTTAAAGCGAGGGAATGTTGCTGACATCGAGGGAATTATAATTTAGAGCGTGGGAATGTAGCTGACATCGAGGGAATTATAATTCAGAGCCTGGGAATGTTGCTGATATCCTGGGATTATAATTTGGAGCGTGGGAATGTTGCTGACATCGAGGGAATTATAATTTAGAGCGTGGGAATGTTGCTGACATCCTGGGATTATAATTTAGAGCTTGGGAATGTTGCTGACATCAAGGGAATTATAATTTAAAGCGTGGGAATGTTGCTGACATCGAGGGAATTATAATTTAGAGCATGGGAATGTTGCTGAGATCCTGGGATTATAATTAAGAGCGTGGGAATGTAGCTGACATCAAGGGAATTATAATTTAGAGCGTGGGAATGCTGCTGACATCCTGGGATTATAATTTAGAGCGTGGGAATGTTGCTGACATCCTGGGATTATAATTTAGAGCGTGGGAATGTTGCTGACATCCTGGGATTATAATTTAGAACGTGGGAATGTTGCTGACATCGAGGGAATTATAATTTGGAGCGTGGGAATGTAGCTGACATCGAGGGAATTATAATGTAGAGCGTGGGAATGTTGCTGACATCGAGGGAATTATAATTTAGAGCGTGGGAATGTTGCTGACATCGAGGGAATTATAATTTAGAGCGTGGGAATGTTGCTGACATCCTGGTATTATAATTTAGAGCGTGGGAATGTTGCTGACATCCTGGGATTATAATTTAAAGCGTGGGAATGTAGCTGACATCGAGGAAATTATAATTTAGAGCGTGGGAATGTTGCTGACATCTCAGGATTATAATTTAGAGCGTGGGAATGTTGCTGACATCTCGGAATTATAATTTAGAGCGTGGGAATGTAGCTGACATCCTGGGATTATAATTTAAAGCGTGGGAATGTAGCTGACATCGAGGGAATTATAATTTAGAGCGTGGGAATGTTGCTGACATCGAGGGAATTATAATTTAAAGCGTGGGAATGTTGCTGACATCGAGGGAATTATAATTCAGAGCGTGGGAATGTAGCTGACATCGAGGGAATTATAATTTAGAGCGTGGGAATGTAGCTGACATCGAGGGAATTATAATTTAGAGCGTGGGAATGTTGCTGACATCCTGGGATTATAATTTAAAGCGTGGGAATGTTGCTCACATCGAGGGAATTATAATTTAGAGCGTGGGAACGATGCTGAACGCGTATTTTTTCGATTTACGTGTAAGAGCAATTTGTGATAGTTTATAGAAATTTTAAAATCAAACATTTATAAAACTTATAAGTCGTTTAATTATCATAAACTATGTACAATCGACGTCACACTTGCTTCAACACTAAACGAAAAAAATAATTAACAATACAAAAATACTTCACCTATAATTAAATTATTTAATCACAACACTATCACCTAAATCTCTGTCATATATATCCCTGATAACCATTAAAAGTTCTATCAAATTGTGTCCAGTCTTAGCTGAAACTCCTATGACTTCCATCTTCTGTCTCATTTTCTCGTAGTTCTGTCTCGCTTCGGGCAAGTCTACCTTGTTGACGACTATGGCGCGTGGTCTGCGAGCTAATGCTGAGCTGTATTGGGTGACCTCGTGTTCGAGGATAGAGTATTGGTGGTCGGGGTCGTTGGTTCCGTCCAGAACGAACACTAGGCCTTTGCAACGCTCCACGTGCTGGAGGAATTGGATACCTGAGAGAAGATAATATGAATCTGAAGATATTTTTTTACTAGAAAAAATTCCACACCGGCCAGGCAGCAGACGGGACTCAAACCCGCATCCTCCACTATCCGGGCGGATGAACTGACCATTGTTACCGCGGCCTTGATGGTTGTGTCTAATTCTTGCTAGTATTTCTAAATGCACCCGCCCGGATAGCGAAGGGTGCGGGTTCGAGTCCCGTCCGCTGCCTGGTCCGCGTGGATTTTTTTCTAGTTATCTTTATATATATAATTCTTCTGTGAGTGTGTATGTCACTGAACTTCTCTTAAACGACTGGACCGATTTTGATGAAATTTTTTGTGTGTGTTCAAGGGGATCTGAGAATGGTTTAGATTCACAAAGACGTAGACAGGACAACGTCTGTCGGGTCCGCTAGTATTTTATATAACTATAATTGCTATTTCTTCTTAAAAATGTTAAATACTTGTGAAGGTATTCCATTTGACATCGTGGGTTACCTACAATGCGAAGAGATTTCGCTGCCTTGCAGCTTAAGGCTAGAGAGAATTCGACACGGCCGTCAGGGCCGCGGTAGCACAATGGTCAGTGCATTCGCTCGGATAGCGAAGGGCGGGGGTTCGAGTCCCGTCCGCTGCCTGGTCTGCGTGCAATTTTTTCTAGTAATATTTTCTTTAGATATAGCATATTTTCATTAGCTAGACATAAGAAATTTATGTAAAATGTTCTCACCCAACCCGTAGTTCTTGTGCGAACCGGGAATCAAACCCGGCAAGTCCGCTATCGCCACTTGCTCGTAGTCATCGTACGGGACCATGCCTGTCGTGTGTAATCATATCCAAAGTTAATCATATTAATAAACATTTCTTACACTCACTTCATTCACTCATTTTTCGAGAAAAATGTAAGATGATTCGAAATGGATTTATTAATTAATTTTAGTCGCATTGTAAAATGATATCGGGCAAATAAAGAATTAAAGCAGAAAATTTGTGTGCACTGACCACACATCCGAAGTGAAACTTCTTTAGCTCCAATGATCTGAAAATCATAAACTTAATCTAAAGATTTGTTAATAGAAAAATAACTACCAATTCACACTGAGTCCGTTATCACACTCCAATCCGCGCTGGGTCCATTATTACCCTTCAATCCGCGCTGGGTCCAGTACCACTCTCTAATCCGCACTGGAACCATTATTACCTTTCAATCCGCGCTGGGTCCATTATCACTCTCTAATCCGCACTGGATCCATTATTACCCTTCAATCCGTGCTGGGTCCGTTATCACCCACCAATCTGTGTTGGGTCCGTTATCACCCACAAAGCACTAGATTCATGTATTTTGTGACGGATATTGTTTATTATTTACCGATGAGTCACGCGCGTAACGCGTAACGCAAAAATCGTAACACATTCGCCAGTTTACTCCCCAAGTCAAGCGTGCCTCAGTCTTAGTCTTAGTAGTACGGCGGGCTGTTTCCGCAACTCGACACCCAGTGCTTATTTTGCGTGGGGATTGGCATCAGTCCTGCCATCCCAGCTCCTCCAGAAAGCTTAGCAGTCCCCGGATGTTGCTGCAGGCTTATACTAGTGTCCGCGGACTTTCCATTAGAGAAGTCCTTTGTCTCACAACGCTTCTGCACTCCAGCAGAACATGGGCGCTGGTTAGGCTTGTTGAAAATATATCGATATATCGATATTTTTTGCCGATATACTTTGATTCGATATATCGATACATCGATACAAAATAACCAATATCGAAATTCGTATCAAAAACGATATTTTTTTAATTATTAGCGGCATATCACGATCTAACTAAATTCGTATCTGGAAAAATCGTAACTGGATCTCAGATTAATGATATTCAACATATCTATGATCTGTGCTGTATTTAGTATTGTCTACGTCATCATTCGAAAATAGGGTCTATTTTTAGGGAGATAATTTTCGTTCCATTATTATTCCGCGTGTCATATTTCGTGAGCTACTGTACTATATTTTTGGGAAAATTGGTCCGATATATCGATGTTTTTTTCGCGATATATCGAAGCCGATATTGATATTTTTTAAAATATCGATATATCGATATTTTTTTCAACTTTCGACATCCCTAGGGATAGCGACCTAGCGCTGGTCTCCTCCTCCTCCAGGCAGGCTCTGCACAGAGGGCGATCACAAATACCTATATTATGAAAGTGTTTGTCGAAGTAGCCGTGACCCGTGAGTATACCCACGATTTGTTTCAGGGCTTGTCTAGGTAGTCTGATTAACTTACGTGTTAGCTGCAGGTTTACCTTAGGAACGGCTTCCCTAGGAGGAGTTTCACTTCAGAAAGTTGGTAATGGTATATAGAACTGACCTATATGCGGATGCAGCGTAGTGAAAGGGTAGGGCGCCACATTAGGCCTGGCCCGGGTGACGGCGCGCAGCAGGGTACTCTTCCCAGCGTTGGGAAACCCCACCAGCCCCACGGCGGCCATGCCCAGCACCGTCAACGTATACGAGGTGCTCTCCCCAGTCGCACCTATCTCGGCTACACTCGGCGCCTACCACAGAACACCGAAAGAGGTTAGAAGGGCAGTTATGTGTGAGCAAATGCTCATAACTTGATCAAAACTTGGTTCTGATTGCACCGTTGCTCTCGGGAATGAGCGCTGATTGGTTCGATTGTTTGATGTCGCGTCGTTTGATTCGCTATATTTCAGGCATTAAGCTATTCAGACACAGAAAATCTACTAAGCCATCTAAAATAAATTCTGATATGTGACCAAATTTTTGCTTATAAAAAAATAATAATAATTAACTACCATGCATTTATAAAGATTAAGTTTTGTTTTTTATCTCTCAACCTTTAATTCTTGTTCTTTTTTGTATTTACCATGAATAAATATTAGGAAATATAGGGTCATTATGGTTATGAAGAATAATGTATAGAGATCATTTGCCAGGGGTAAGGACCTGGTGATCCGTAGTACAGGTTAACGCCTATTTCGGACACCAGCTTCTTACAACGCCTAATAATATTATTTAAGTGTTGCTTAACCTGTATTTTATGTGCCTTAATAGTTGTAAGAAGAAATAAATAAATTTATTATTATCTATTAGGTGGAAGTGTAGTGGGGGCGAGCTGGCGACATCGGTTTCCGTACAAACGGTATAATGATCACCGTTCTAATCTCTTTCTGTGTTCTGTGGCGCCTACCATCCAAATATATTGATAGCCACTCGCGAACATATCTGTGGCGACGACATCTATATGCCCCACATATACAGGGTGTGACAAAAGTCCGAAATAAAACTTTAGGGTTTGGTTGTGTTCCTTGTATAGAATTACCTACGAAAGTTTGACGCCTTTCAGACCACTTTTATTCTCTAATTAAATTAATAAAAATATCGTTTTGCACCTGCCCTTAAATGCGTACGATTACTACTACCTAAACAGACCCTCCTCTCTCCCCCAGCGCCCCGCTCAGATACCTTTTTTTTTTTTTTTTTTTTTTTTTTGTCTGGGAAATGCTTTACGCATCCTTCAACCACCGGGGGAGCGAGAAGAAGGTATGTGGGACTCCTCCCTGCTCATTTCAGCCAGCCCTTAGGCCGGGTGAAATGAGCAGGGCCCTACCTAACGCCCTGAACAGGGCCACTAAAAACCAGACAATACTCCTGCGGTGGTCACCCGGCGTACATTCTGAGGACCGCAGTCCCCCCGCAGCACGTCGGGAGTGCGGGTGTGGTCGCGGCAACCGTTGCCGACTGTCCGCGCACCCGCAAGGTGATTGTCCGCGAACGGACCCACCCCGATGAAGGTGCCCCGGAGTATCAGGGGCACCAGCATCAAGAGAGCTTGTGCAATGCAGGCCGGTCCCCCCCCAGGGCAGACCCGCGGCTCTCACAGGAGTGGGAGGGAGAGCGTAGTTCTCTCCGTCCCTCTCCCGCCCCCCTTGGCCCTAAGAAGGGCCTTTTGAGCATCTACCGCCAATCGCAATGATCAGAATCACTGTGGGGTGATGCTCCTACCCTGGTCCTGAAAAGGACCGTTGATCGGTGTTCAGCACTCGACGTGCTGACCATCCTAGGGTGCCCCGCTCAGATACCTACAAATTTTTATTTCGGTGTACATACCTACAAATTTTATTTCGGAATTCTGTAACACTCTGTATACAACGGATGGAGGAAATCATTACTCATCGGTCGGACATCGTATATTTGAAGTGTTAGCCTCCGAATTTCATTTGCGCGATGTGGGCTTCCATACTATTTTGATCGCAGCGTAGGTAGCGCCATCTCTTGAGGAGGCGAGTGATTATTTCCTTAATGTTACTTATATGTGGGGCATATAGATATCGCCGCCACAATGTACTGATTTTTAGTTCCCGTTACGTACTTTGTGGCGATGCTGTTCAAGTTTCCATACAAAATTTTACATTGACATTTCGCACTCGCAAACTATTCGAATTCGATAATGGGTCATGTTAGGGGTACGAAGGCCCAATTCCTACACGAACAAAGAAATTTGGTGACTCATTTCTTTGTCGTACTATTCGTAAGTGGGAATCCTTTGCCCGCGCACGTGTTCCCTCCTTCCTACAATCTAAGGTCCTTTAAGAGAGGCGTGAAGAAGCATTTGTGCAGACCGGCAAGGTGAGGATGGTTGGTGTAGCAGTTTATAACTGCTGTACCAGCTATCTTCGCGTTTGGAATTTATCACCACTTAACATCAGATGGGGTAGAGTTATTTGCCTACGAGATTAAAAAAATAAAATAAAAATGGGTGCGTGTACTTATGTAGGCGCGTGAGAAGTTATCCTTCTTTGGCATCGTTTAAAATTAGTTTTTAATTGCATGCAAATAATTAATAAATTAATAAAAAGTCTGGAAAAGGACACAGTCAATAAAGTTCAGTTTTAATTTGAAAAAATAAATAAATATTCAAAATATTCAATTAAAATCGCTACTGAATATAATTTATTAGAACATATGTGATTTGCACTTGTATGAAACTCAAACACGTATTCCGAATATACAAACTAGAAACATGTGGATAAATATTATAAATATGAATACCTATAACTGTTACTTTATTACAAAAAATAAAGATGTGGTTTTTGGTTCTACTACACCAATGGTCAAGAGATGGCGCTGTAGTCTCCTGAATCGCGCTTTGGTTCCGTTGTTCCAGATTAATAAATACTTTTGATAGGCCTTCACAATGCAGTCGTTAGCACCCACTAAATAGAGATTCTATTTCTATTTTGTTGGTAGATTTTCTTAATGTGCAGTAAACACAAAAGTAACGCATGAAGTTGGTCGCTAAAGCGACCAACTTCATGCTGTTAAAATTTTGTGTTACAGTGATGCGCGCGCATCTTAAAATTTCACTCTCATCATTTTTTCATAACGCGCCTAAAGAAGTATAACTTCAATAACACGAATTTTGATAATTCTGTAACAGCATCACATCGTCAAAATTTCTATGAAAACAAGACAGCGCCCTTACCGTTCATGTTGACCAACTGGCTTGTTCCATACAAAATTTAACGAAGACGATACTATTATGAAACTCACCAAATTCGTACTTGATAAGCCTGAGAGAACAAAAACTCCAGACTTTTTTCGAATAGCCAGGATTTTTGTCGCAACTTTGAAATTTCTAAATGGTAACCCTAGCTTTAAGTACAGTACAATCCGTTTATTATGACTTGGAAGGGATTCGACAAACACGTCATACTAAGCGGACGTCATACAAAGTATTTTTGTGAAAAAAGATTGTGAGATGAGTTTGATCCTCCATTTTCTAATCAGCATATTATTGCACCTTTTTCCTCAGTCGTAAATGCTTTACGACGTTGAGATGACATTTTTTAACATAGCATATCACTAAAAACAATGCTTGATGTTCAATTTGAATCGACGAACATTACCGTAGGTGTAAAGAACCATGTCGGTCACTATAAACGCACAAAATTGATTAAAAATGGGTCATAATAAGCGACATGTCACTGTAAGCGAAGTCATTATATCCGACATTGTTGCAATGAATTTTATATGAAAACCAAAGTTCGTTGTGTAATTACGTCATAATAGGCGGTTGGTCAATATAGGCGGAGTCATAATAAACGGATTCTACTGTATTTATATTATTTGGGTAACCAAAAATTTTATATCTCTCAAGCTCCTCCGTGCTTCGGAAGGCACGTTAAGCCGTTGGTCCTGGCTGCATCTGCAGTCGTTAGCACCCACCAATCCGCACTGGGCCTGTGTGGTGGGTCATGGTCCAATCTCTATTCCATCCATAGGAAAGTTTGTGCCTCAGCAGTGGGACTGGCTGATGGTAGGATATCTTATTATTATTATTTGAACATTTCAATTTTATTTCATTTTATTAAGTAATTTCTCTACATTATTATTATTAAGATTATTCTTATTGTTATTAAAGCTGTATGATTTGTTTTCACGATCATTTAAAATGTGTGATATTGAGATAGGTAAGTAAATGTGTCATAAAATGTAATTGGAACTACGCTAAGCACGAACCTCGACAGGTCTGTCAAAGTTCGTGCCAATTACCACCACAATTTGCATAATATCAGGTTCTTTATGGCGTCTAACTGTAGAACTCAATAGTATTTTGACAATTAATGACAAAAACGCTTTATATATGAGGAGCTGGCGAACAAAACCTGCTCAAACTAAATTTTTTTACAGTCCGGAGGTTTCGGGCCCGTTGAATTTGAATCTCAAAATTTTCGATCATAACAGTCTAAAACAGTGTTAAAATTACTAAATTTATAAATTAAAATCCATGCCAAAAGCTCACTGGAGGTATGTCATACAGCTTCTGTATAATTTAATTTTATGTAATAGGGATGATGACTAATTTTGTTTTTCTTCGTTTATCAGGTAGATTATCAAAGAGTATTGGACACGTATTTTTTCTTTTGTTCACATAATATAAACATTGCAGAGATATATTGATTTGAAAAGTCGCATGACGTCACGTTTGAGTACACTTATAAGTGAAAATTCACTCAAAAGTGACGTCACGAGCCCCTACTCCCAAACTTTGACGCGCTATAACTTTGTCATTTTTTGGTCGATTGCTCAAAGAAAAAATACGTGTCCAATATTTTTTGATCATCTAACTGACGGACTAAATTGAATTTCGTTTACTGTACTCCGTCATCACCCCTAATGTACCTTTTTTTGTCGTTTAATCACAATAAATAGATGAATGGCTGACCTGCTGTGTGTCGGTGAGGAAGAACTTGTTCCCCCGGCCCCCCTGCCCCCCGCGCGCGGCCACAAAATGGAATGGGTGGGAATGCGTGCGTGGGAATGTAGCTGACATCGAGGGAATTATAATTTAGAGCGCGGGAATGTTGCTGACATCGAGGGAATTGTAACTTAGAGCGTGGGAATGTAGCTGATATCCTGGGATTATAATTTAGAGCGTGGGAATATAGGTGACATCGAGGGAATTATAATTTAGAGCGTGGGAATGTAGCTGACATCGAGGGAATTATAATTTAGAGCGTGGGAATGTAGC